AAGGTGGTACGTAACAGATCCCGAGATGCTCGCAAGGACCGCAATCCTCCTCCTCGTTTTGGCCAGCGTTCAGCTCAAGCCCGACCGGGAGTTCCTGGCGGACCACGTCCATGAATGTTTTTCCCATGTTGTTGTTTTCAGTAAATCTGTTATTATTTCTTAGTCTTTACTTGAAGTCACAAATGATCAGTCAGTCGTACACACGATACAGTTGAATCACATGGGAAATGTATCAAGTGTAAGATTATTGTTTATTCATTTGAATGGACGCTGTGAGAACAAGTTGTTTCGTTCCTGCGCTGCTGGCCACACAGGATAGTTTGTCAAAGGTTCCTGAAGAGAACGTAGTTTCCCGAAAGTTTGCTCATAAAACTGTATGATTTTTTAAAAATAATAGGATTGTACCGTATAAAAGGGTGTATAGGAAATTCCGCTCGATGTTTCTGCTGGACATGGGCAGAAACTGAAAGGCTAGAAATTTATTGGTTGTTCTCGTTAATATGACGTTCACCTACTCAATGTCTTGACCAGGTGGTCCGTCAGGGCCTGGTTCACCTCGTTCACCCTTCAAGCCATCGTTTCCTGGTGGGCCTGGCGCTCCTTTTGCACCCACAGCGGTCTCCGTGTTCGGGACGGACTCGCCCGGTATTCCGTCTGGTCCTGGCTCTCCTGTAGTGCCCTGTGAACCTGGTGGACCTTGAACATTTCTATAAGATGTGAATCTAAACATTGTCTCAAGTCCTACCTAGTCGTCCTTTACCGGTAATGACGTCTGGAGCTGGTATTCCTGGCGCTCCTTGGGGTCCTGGCCCGCTCCAGAGGAATCCCATGGGTCCTGCTTCGACACCAGCTTCGCCAGGGTTTCCATTTTCACCGCTTTCGCCGGTAGCGCCTTTAATTCCTTTTTCGCCCTTCAAAGGGAAGGTATGGAAGTGTTTAGAAACAGGGGTTGCAAGACAGACACTGATGGGAGCGCCCAGATACATTTTCTCGTCTCAGGGCATCTGTCAACCGGAGCTCCTCTGTTTATTTTTTTCTTTCCTTGTTCATTCCACCTTATCCCTCTTCCCTCCAAGTATTCGGACAGAAGATGCAAGGATAAAATGCCCCTGGACCCTCGCAGTAAAAGAATATCTAGTTGACAGGTACCCTGTGACCCTGAACGGGCATGAGTGTCTTACTGGTGATCCTCTCTCTCCTGGAGGACCAGGTCTGCCTGGCTTTCCAGCCGGACACACGAGACACCGGCTCTTCAAACACATCAGCAACCCCGTCAACTCCAGGAGGACCATCAAGACCCGTGGCTCCATCGGTTCCATCCCATCCATCAAGCCCTAAACATGGATTTGTCTGTGGAGAAGAGCTGACTTCATGAGAACAGATCACCTGCAGCTCCTGGAGGGCCTTGACATTGAATATTTTTTGTCAAGGGCTCATCACTACGAGGACTTCTTCCTTCGATGCTAAGCTCTTGCAACTCAGATGCTGGTTCTACCTGCCATTCTTGTGGTGCTGATTGAAGCAGTTCTTCCAGGTTACCTGGTTTGATATTGTTGTCCACAGACTGCCTTTTAAAGCGTGTGATATCTTTGAAGGCGTGAAGTGACCAGACATCATCCGTTCAGAAATTTCTGTAAAATCGCGCTTTTTAGAGGGAACTAGAAGGGGTCAAGGTGTCGCCGACTCTTTTTGCAAATGAGCAACAATGATTATGGACACTGGGTCCCAAGCATTCATAGATGCTAGTTGACTTGACTTTATTAAGCAAACAGCTGTCGAAACCGCCTAACCATAAGCGGGCTTCTCTTCTCACAGTTGATAAATAATATTGAAGCCCAAGTGAGAGGCGAAGAGACGTTGCGAAGCCGTGCGATAGTCTAGAGACAGAGGATGTGAGAGTGGCAATATTGGACTAGCGAACCGAAGCGACGCGCACAAACATGACAACGGGGGTGTGGTTCAGGACACGCTTGTTGCGGTATCGCGTGCAAAGTAGCCGAGTATTTCTCAGCTACTTGACCTTACACCTGTTTATGAATCTACCAGATCCTGGTGCGAATGCTGCTACATGACACCATTTACAAGAGGTTTTCGCTGCCTTAACTGTGATCTGGATGTACTGAACTGTACTCATGAGAGCACCCCACACACACACAGCACGCCGAGGTAGCTCTCTTTCGCAGGCAGATGAGCTGACTAGGCCGCTACGCTTTCGTGGTGGAGATACTGCGTCCTCCTCACTAGCAGTAGAGCCTTAAGAGTGCTACGTTGTCTGCGGTGGTGAATCACGCTACCTTTTACGAAAAATGGGTGTTACCTATATAGCCGTTGCGGGGGTAATGTCTTCGCCGTTAATAAATCGCCTTTTAGGATACAGCACGCATTCTAATTCCATTTAAAATTGTAGTAGCTTAATGAATACGATTGAGGCTTCGAATGTGACTTCTGGGGGACAGCTGATGTACAAGTCAGTGTTCTTGTTCTCTGGGACGAAGTCACCATTTTATCGTCCGCGGAGGACAGAAGGCTTAGTTGGCCTGGGCACAACCCGATCCGGGATGGATCCAGTGTGTGCACGGTAAGCGTCCCATTTGCCATTGCACAAGCTCAGCCCCATTTATTACCATCAATACATAATATATGGGCGCAAAAACGTACACAACTGAACCCATCGGGTTTTGAGAAATTTCTCCATACCACGCCCACCACCTAACTGCCCTTGGCCCATAACTTCCCTTCCCTTCCTTGTACCCTATCGTATTCACTAACAGAATCTTGGACTGACTTATTGCCGTTGTGAATAGAGGCTCTCAATTACAAAACCTGAGTTGTGCTGAATACCTCTTCTGGGCAGAAAAAAAGAAAGAACCATGGACCTGGCAGCCTCTCTGGACGAGTTCTGCAGGTTTGCTCGTTTTATGGCAGCATAGCAAAATCCTCCCGCCCCAAGACCAAGTTGTTTTATCATGTCACCTGCAGACTAACAAATAATTACTATCAGAAAAAATCCAAAAGCCAAGCATGAACTCGTGATAGAAAACTAAAGTCTTGAGTTTTGGTGGGAGCAGACAATACAGGGGGGAACCATAAAAAGTCAACTTCGTTTCGAGTTACATGTCAGCAAAGTTTTCGCAGCCCAGACAGAGGATGTGGATACGAGTACCAGTGCGGAAGACACCCAAGTTGTTCCTCGATAAGGTGGAGCTAGCTCTTGCCCACCAACTTCATGTACACCAAAATATGAAGTCATCTCCAGTAGCAGTCTGACTGGACAAGACCTTCCGAAATCTCACGCCTCAGCACCCAAGCAGCGCACAAACTTTGGTCGGAGTCATCCGTGGCTAGCCTACCTGCGCAGACCAGTACTCGTCGTCTGGCAAAACCTCCATACCGTCGAACAGCGACAACGTCGCCCACGGTCTAGGATATCATCTTCACCACAGTCGTCAAGGCGCGGGTTGATGGTATGGACCGGACGAAGCTGATATGGAAAGACCTATATTTTCTTCGTGAACCCCGAACTGAAAGTGAGTGCTGGCCATTACATCGACTCGAGAAGAATATCCTCTCCACTCACGGGACCACATGTCGTTGCCCGTACCTTCTTGGAAACTTTGTCCTGTTACAGCACTGGGTGCAACTACCACTGTGGAATGGAAGGGCGTTGAGAACCTAAAAGAGATGGAATATCTAAGTAGGTCACCTGACCTGAGTCCCCTCAATTGCCGGTCCGAGCGGAGTTCAGTGTGGTGGTCGCTGACGGAGAAATCGACTATCGCGCCAGAATCTCTCGATGACGCTCGTCCAGAAGGCTGTGGCGGAGTGTCATGATAGTATTTAATATGCTCTTCAAGATGGTGGTGGAAATGTCCGATCAGAATCCAATAAACTGTAACTTGTAGCGCCTCGAAAGTCAGTGAAGGAAAGTGACTTTTTTATTGCCCCCCCCTGTGAGTAGGTGTCAGAACTGCCATACGGCACTGAGGGGCTGGCAGCGCTTCGTCACTTTAATGTGAAGTCCCGCGAAAATGGGATAGCTTTGATGAGGACAGAAATACTTGACAAAATGAAGGACTGGCTGCGAATGGTTTGAGCGCGGGGATCGCATTCAGATTTCTAACCGGCAACTGTGTCAGCGAGGAACGGACGAAGAAAATCACTAAAATTTATGCAATGCTGAGCCCAGGCACCATTGCAAGTTGGCATTCAGAAAAACACCACCAGTCGGGATACAGTCGGATGCATGGCGCAACCCAGAAACGTTTGATCATCAAGCGTTGTCGTTTGGTTACATTTGGGATTATCATCCGTTCTTCTATCGCTCACCTTTAAGTGATCCATTCTTTTCGCAAACATCTCCCTGCTTCGATGAAAATTCTGCAGTTGTGTGGGTACTGCGAAAAACATTAGTACAAGGCACGCGAGTGCAGATGTAAAGGAGAATAACACGAGAAGATCACAGCATGGACCTGCAAAACGTCAAAACCCTTTGAAATGAAACGAAAACTTTGAAATGAAATGAAACAGTACTGCCTAAGAGTAGCTGAGAATAATGTGAGAACGAAACCTGAAAGAAGGATCCGCTTGAGACGACTTCTATTCAAAGCGATGGGCACTCCGTAGACAACAGTGGTAGGCATCTGTTATGGTCTGTTACAGCTTCCTACTTGGTCTAAATAATTCCCGTCGTCTCTCGACCCGATTAGAGCGTGAGCGACCACTTGAGATGCGGAAAAACGGTCTGGCAAGTGCCGATGTGCCGATCAGTGTAGGAAAGGGGTCATTAGAATATGAGAAACCAGTTTGCTTCACATCCTCTGCTCAGGACGCTTCGTCCAGAAGTCTGCTAAGCAAAGGCTGAGGGCTCAGAGGTTTGGGGGATGACGATGGCGAGCAGGGCACATCGCCGCGATGTGGGAAATGCCTGCAAAGAATGACCAACTTAAATTTCCTTCATCGCTATGATCACTTCACTAGCCGACTACCAACAATCCAATTCAGGGCGTTGGAGAACCCTCAAAGGAGGTGTTATTTGACCACTGGAGGGGAGCGTGATATTTGACCTTGGGAAAATTCTTTTGGTTGTTGACCTATCCGTTTCACAGGTGTTGTACACCCTCCTCCTCCTCCCTCGACGAGACGGCGGCACCGCCGAAGTACTAATTCTCAAAGTAGATTGAATGTGTCTGCCCATATCCCCTCCTCCCCCCCCCCTCGGCGGCGGAAATCTTTCGGAAAGCCTGGTAAGATGATCGGTCGATTGAAGTGGTATGTATGTATCAGAGAACAGAATCTGGATCTGGTTTGCAGTTGACAACAATTATCGTGCCTTGATCCGAAACGTTCCTAGAACTTTGCCGTCGAGAGAAGGAGGAGGGTAGACACTTCCCATGGACCAACAAGAGCAGTCACCACCAACAAGGAAGCTGGTTGGGAACAGCGCGCGTGAAATGAGAAAAAATCAACAATCGGGAACAAATCTCTCGAGGTGAAATGCGGCTCCCCTACCCCAGTGACCGGATGATACCCTCGCTGGCATTTCCAGGGGAATGAGGGTAATGCGCCCTGAGTTAAACGGTTCTGCGCCATCGTTCGGATAAGATTATTCGCTTGCTTTTGGAGTTATCACTGTTCCCCTTGAATCCTGCTCGTCTTTGACAATGAGAACGGGGACTCTATTGCGCATTCTTTGGTATGATCCCGTCGGACTTCGAGCGCTGCAGCGTGAGTATCATATTACCTTCGTGACATCACTTCCCGGATACCTTAAGCTTTATTTGACATGCATTTTAGACCCGTTCTTTGTAGCGAGGCGAGCCATCACGTTGAGCAAAGGAAGTTTTGCAAAATCTCCCAATTTGTAGCGCACTCACAGTGCAGTAACTAAAGTCTGATAAGACCTTTTCGAGTCTATTGGGCAGTTCTTAGTTTTCCTTATACTAACTCTTTTTTCCTGAAAATCTGGCGTCGAGCGGGACGCCCGACAAGGGAAAGAGACTTTTCCACCAATCAACTACCAGAAAATCAGTAAAGGCACTTTTGCAGCCACTTGCCCCCCCCCCTCCTCCATGCTATGCACTGTTCAGCATGTGCGATAGGGGAAAATCATCACTCAGTAGAGGAGGGAGGGTGAAATACGATGAAAAGGTGAAATACGACCTCGCTGTGCTTTATCCAAATGATGGTGAGCATTGTTATTTGGTTAGTTTATTTTTCGAAGGTGAGTTCCGCTAGGAGATCGCATGGGCCTATAAATCTCTAAATTGAGCAAACTTCTATACTCTTCCGAGTGGTACTCAGATCGACCCAGCCAATGAGCTGTACTTGATTTGTGATGGCGATGAGTACTGTTGCGGGTTGGGAGGGGTGCTGGATGAGCGGCTGCGCACTCCACACAAGTGGATACCGCGCCAGAGTCAGCAGAGCGACGGACTCAGCGGCAGCAAATAGTCGTCGACCAGCTCATCCAGCATGGCGCCTTCATCAAAATCCGTACCGATTCCCATTCACAGGTACTGTCTCAGAAGTAAGTCATGGCCTCGTCCCTTCTGTTGTAATGTACCCATTCAGGTCCGCTTCTCATACACCTTCAATGATGGTGAACGCCAAGAAGT